TTTCTGGCCCCTGTGAATTCAAACACCAAATGCAATGTTTTAATTTTTTTTTTTTTAGTTTGCAGATTCGTAAGTTTCTTCTGACAGGGGACACAGACTCCTTGGTACCCCATACCGGAGCTTACTGGCAGTACATTTGCTGCTTTTAGATACCTTCTGCAGCCTTCTCAGAAATAACCTGGTGTCTGTGGACCAGAATCTGAAGGAGCTAATCAAAACCCCTGAGAGAGAAGGAATCCTCTAAAGCAACAACAGTGATACCCATATGAGAATTGCTTTCAGATGACGAGAATGAGGCCTGATACACAGCAGGGAGAAAAAGAACAGATGAACTTGTGATAAGAGCTGAGAGAAGAAACCAAAGTAACAACACATTACCTTGCTCTTGTTTGATCCTCTCTCTTTCTGCATAGCCAGCAGCAAGCATGTTAATTCTGTTTAGCCATCTGAAATAATATTAAAAAATATTATTAAATATTATTTAAAAAAAACACAAATCAGCCTCCTAATTCTTTGGTGCATTTCTACAAAAAACAAAGTCAGGAGCATCTGAAGGAGATTCAGGACAATGTCATTTTTCATGTCAGACAGCTGTTTTCTTTGATACTCTTACTCAGGGAGTCTCCAAAGATCTATGATTTTGCTCTTGAACAAACTGTTTTCACAGCAAAGATTTTATTTCAAATGGAAAACCATGTATGATGTCAAACGTCTGTAAAATAAAGGATTTGGAGATAATCAAAGAGCTATTAAGTCTGCTGCTCACAGATACGCCATCACACCAATACTCCTGCTGTTCTGATTTCTTAAGAATAAACACCACTTTTCAGAGATTTAAGCAATATTTTAAGGCCTGAATTGGCAACTTAGCAGAGGAACAGAGCAGAAACTAGCAATAAAAAGAACAGGTTCACTCCCAAACAGACAGTGAGGTTTAATTATGCCACTCTGTGTTTTAGAGCTTACCTACAGTGCCAAGTACAAAGAGGAGGCGGCATATCAGAATTCACTTTTGTGCTTGTGTCAGAGAAGTAGGGGGAGAAAAGACAGTTTCCTCAATGCAATTCACATCTAAGGCTTTAACCTCAACTTAGACTTGAAAAAATGCTTCCATAAGCTGCATAAATTAAAAAAAACCAAAACAAACCAAACTATTGCTATTCTCTTCTAGCAGAGGTGTCACTGCCAAGTGTACACTCAACTGCCTGTAGCACTGCACTGATTCAACCTGCCCTCTTCCTCCATGGGGCTCTGGTGTATTCATTATCCAAATGCTTACACTAAATCAGGTCCTCCATCAGCGAGGCTTTAAACCACCATGACAATCTCCCAAGGTTGTCCATTCCATGGTAAACCTGGAATTACTTGCTCCAGTCATCCCATAGTCAGGGATGGTTTGACAGACCTGGTTTGACAACCTACTGGCCTGCAGTTTTACTGCTAGGGTATATGGAAGAACAACTGAAGTCAGGTATGACCTGTAAATCACGTTAATGATCCATAAATCATTGTACATTGGGAAGAAAGCTAGAGATTTACTCCTGAACTGATTAAAGAATACTTCATGTTAGCATACAATCAAAATTTCTGCCAGAAGAATAGGGAAGCTGAAGAGACTTAAAATTTCAGTTGTAATTGTTAGGAGGTGCCATACACTTATAAAAATAACTGGCACATAGGAACAGAAATCCAACAAATCGTGTCTCAGACAACGATTTCACATCTTCACAGCAGAAAGGTGGTCCACTACAAAGCTATCTTTTAGATTCACATTCCTCATATGTGAAGAGCTTCTTTGGGGAACAAAGCTCAGCTGTCTTGACAGCTCTGCCAGCCCAAATCCGAAGCACTGAGGCAGGAACCCCACCCAAAGCGTTCCAGCCCCGTGCTGCTGAGTGACCAGCAAAAGCTACAGACTTGTCTACGTCCAAAGGGTAAAGCAGCACAAGACAACAAGTGCCTGCTCTGTCAAATGGCATGGCCGACAGTGGAGGTGGTCCTTTCCTGGCCTCTTGCCTATTTTGGATTTCACGTTCCCAATTCAGCTCACGGTTTACCACCCACCAGCGCAGCCACCAGGGAACAGCCATCTCCTCAATCCTTTTGGATAGAGCTGCTGACCACAAAGTATAGATGATACGCCTACAAAGGTGTATCCTCCTGTTGGAAACTTCATTCTGTCCTAAATACGAGAGAGCATTTCGTGTTAAGTGTGTGTGAGTAAGGTAACCAGTTAAATTAACAAACACTTGATTAATTGACAGTCAATTGATACCGCTTACAGCTATGGTAGGTAATTGTTTCCAGAAAAATAATTCCTGGGTTTTTTATTTCCTGAAAAGTATAATCTAATGAGAACCCAGGAAATATATACCAGTCAGAGAGAGACAGCAGACTGACTTCACATTTAATGATGTTCTGCAAGTCATGATCTGTGTCATGGTTTGGAACATCACCTGCAAATGCCTGTGGGGTGAATGACAAGGTACTGATGTGGTTGTAAACCGTTAACAACCACAGCTTTTGAGTGGTTTGCTAGTTTAGAAAGTAAAAGAATGATATTGGCTTCTTCTGCATATTTTCTGATACGTGGCTGCTAAAGTTTCCTCAGATATGGCTAGAATGGGTATGGTTAGAGAATTAATGCTATTTTAATAAAGCATGGCTAGCATTATGGTTCATTGAAGTCAGAATCGTAGGAGAAATCCAACACACTGGGCTTGTATCACAGGGAAACATAAAGATCTCCTGTAGAATGAAAGAGGAGTAAAACATGCCTGCTTCACAACGCACTGGGGACAACAGTTCCAAGCGTACAGTTATACAAATATTCCTTACTAGAAATTTTAAAAGATACAAAGCCCTACGACATGGGATGATTTAAATCCTTTTTCCCTGCGGTGTGCTGTGCTCTGGTAGCCACTGAAACTTTTGGAGGACAAGAGGCCAAGAAAATATTCCTTTCTTACTGCAAATGCAGCTTTAATTTTCTTGTGAGAATTATAAAAACTATTTGTTAGGTATGACAATAAATACAGTAGCACCAGTAGTTGCAGCTGTCATCTAGGTTTTCTTTTTGTGTTTTTTTGGGGTTTTTTTTGGTAAGAATAGCACATACATTTGTTGTCAGTATTTAATTAAAACAATTTTATAACACATAGAACAGGATTAAAAAACCCTAATCTTTCTGTAGACCTGTAGCTTCTGTAAAGAAGAACGCACAGTACTGGCACGCTTGCAGAACAGTAGGAAACATTCTTCTATCTTATCTCACGCTCCAGGTAGACGCAACGCTCTTCGTCAAAGCAGGGTGTCAAATTAACCTTAAAGCTCGAGGATATAGGACAAACTTGCTATATGGAAATATGGATACTTGACAGTGTCTGTAAGTACCCAACTGCCATTTCACCAGAATGAAGAGGCCTGCAGACGATGCGGGAGAATTTTTACAGGCCGCTTTCACTGAACTCTTCCAGAGACATCTCATGCACTAATACTACAAGCTGACTTGTCATGTTTCCTCTTGATCATAGAGCTACACCAAGGAAGAAAACTCTTATAAATGTCAATACTCAATGTCACAAAACCAGAAAGAGGACAGCTCAGTTACAGCAGGTCAAGGAAGTTCTCAGACAAATATTCCACACGAAGTTACTGACTGTATTTCCCTGCCTAGAAGATGTAATTTTGGCAGCCATATATGTAATCACTTAAAAAATGGACAGTTCAGAATAAAAAGGAAGAATAAGAGTATTGCAGGTATGTAAGCTGGCCAGCCCTGAAAAGGATGCATTTGCCTCTGAGCTGATGATGAGGATTTTTGAGTAAAGAACAAATAGTCCATAAAGCAGCAGGCACAGTTACCATGGAAAATCAAAATAGTTACATACAATACCATCAAGCAGAAATATAAGGACTGCCTTCTACATCAGAATATTTTGTAGGAATGAGAATAACAATGAATTTCCAAGCAAGGTGTTTCTATGACTATACACTCACACTAGCAAAACGGTACTTTGCATCAATAAAGGATATTCTGCCCTTCTCACCCAGACTAAGCATATTATATGGGTAGAAAGAACACTTTTGCTGGTGCAACAATGTGGATGAAAGGAAGTTCAGACGCCACAACAATAAAGTTCAGTGATCATAGTTCTCCAGACTCCTTACCAGCATAATAGTGTTGCACAGTCATAAAAGTAGTAAGAAAAGTTGAATAGTGAGTTACCCGAGATGAAAATACCCAGTTTATATAACTAGCTACACACAAACAGAAACTTCATATCCTGCATATGCTTTTTTAAAAAAAAAAAAACCAGCTAAATCATTTTATATAAGGGGTGAAGGAATTGAACCATTTTGAACTTTCAGTTGGACTATGTATTAGCAGTTTTCTACTTTTGTTTCTTCTGCTTCAAGTATAAACAGAACTGAAATGATTGCATGATACATAATTAAAATGTATGTTAGAAACCTAACAAAAAAAAGAACTGAAGTTGATCAAAAAAGTCTTAATTTAACTTCATAACTTGATTCTGTGTTTGACTTCAGCTAGGCTACAAAATGCTTTTAGATAGGAAGTATTTTATTATCTCTGCATTTGAAAGATTATTTTTCAGTAACCCACTTTTTTTTTTCCCAATATATTGAGTTAATTCAACATTTGTGAAAGTGAACTACTTTTTCTAACACATTAAGCAAAGAGAAAATTAAAATTATTTGGTGAGATTCTAATGGCAACTCAGATGTAAGAATTCCAAGTAATTCCATAGACCTTGACAGAGTTGCTTTAAATTTACATGTGTATAACTCTGATCAAAATTTGGTCAAGCTCATTCTAAATTAATTAATAAGCACTTCTTTCAAAATATGACAAAAAGACTATTTGTGCTTGGAAGTTAAAAATCTTTTCGTACTTGGGGTTTAGACTGTGTGATATATTTTTAAAGAATTGATGCATATTTGCTGCTGCTTTCTGATTACTGAACAGTTATATAGATTTTTATCCTTAGAAACAAGGTGCCTTGTCATACCGACTGAGGACCTGCTGACAGAAATTATTCCTCTAGTGCTGTAGTTCAGGACATGTCGAATAGCCTATGCCATTATTCTATGTGCTGTGCAGCAAACTGTATTTTGAGTGACTGACTTGACAGAATTATCAAGGAAAGGCAAGCCTAAAATTTTACAAACAAATAAAAAGGTTTTAAGTTTTCTAACTGAGGAGAGACTTTTGAAGTGGGCTTTAGTCATGCATGAACTTTTGAAAAAATGTTAACAGACAGCTCTTTCTAAATGAAAGCAAGCATAGTATAGTATTGGCATACTTTTCCAGTCAAATATTGTCAGTAAAGAACTGGCAGTATCGTGAAGGTGCTCTGCCAGGTAGCTGAATCTAGTACACACAGGAGAGATTAAACTATGATTATAGCACTTACTAACAGTTTTATGGATTGAAGTTTTATCTCCCTTTTCCTCTGTTTTAAAAGCAATTTTGCTCAGTGAGGATGTCCACAGACATTATCTAAGACAGAGCAGTTGTCAGGTTGCAATAATAAATTTTTGTTTGTGTCCTCTGTCATATGATGAAAATGGTGTATTATTTTGAACTGAATTAATTTCAGTTTATGTTGTTAAAATAAATGAAATAAAATGCCAAATATTTGAATAGATGAGATCCATGTTTTTAATTTACCACTCAAATGAATTAAGAGGAACTGTGTTTATTTTGTGCTGAAGTCTCAATCATTTTTTTGTAAAAAATCACACAAGTGGCCTAAAATAGATACAGTAAACCTCGATATCCAAAGAACTAAGACTTAAGTCCTTGTTCTTTTTGAGTTGCTGGAATTTTCCCTACTAAATTCAATACAACCAAAATTTCACTTCAACATGTAGGTTAAATTCATGGCAGTAGAGTAAATCTGCAAAATTCATTCCTTGTAATCTCTACCTCCTTTTTCAAGACTGGCAGAAGAAAAATCAATGACTGCTTTAAATCTTTCTCCAACTTCTAATTCCCTCCAGGGCCAGAAATAGCAGCATCCCTAGAGCAAGCATCACATGTCTTTGGGAGTATGTTGGAAAGTAGAGTTGGAGATACCGCACCTTTGCAGCTGCTGCACAGCCAAAATCAGAAACCTGGAATTCTGAAATTGTGTTTGGATGTTGTTTCACATACTGTATTTATTACTTTTCAGAAAGAGGGAATCTTGTTTCTAAAAATCTTCAAACCTTTGTTTAAAAAAAATTTAATTTTTGCATGAATTGAATATTTGGCGTATGCAGCCACTGAGAAACAATGCTACTCTGCACTTATTTTCTCAGTTATTAAACTTAACTTTTCAGATTAAAATGTAATTTATTATCACTATGTTATTACTAGCCTCAAGAAGTGTCACATTTAAGGAATGGTTCCTTGAACTTTGCTAGATTTCCTTACCTGTTCATATCATCTAGATGTTCAGCAGCAAAATAAAAACTTTTGATCTTAGGATGGCAGGCTTTGAATGCACTGTAAAGGAAAAACATAATTATAAAAATGTAATGGCACAACTGTTTTCTTTTAAAATGTAAGATAGTGTGGTCACCAAGCAATGAGATGAGTTCATATCTCCTGAGTTCTTGGATGCCCCCAAACAGTATATAAACATACAACTTAGGATTGTGCCAGATTTCACAAAATAAAGTGCTCTTCAACTACCGCTTTCTAAGTAATGCTTGATTCATATGTGCAGAAATATTGTTCAACAATCACCTGCAGTGTACTATATTTGGATAAAGTTAACCACTTAAGGATATAATTTTATGTATCAGGTAGTTTTGCTGATATACCTATAGGTGTCCATTTGTTCTGAACAGAAAATTGACTGAACAATTTATTCCATACAACAGAAAAACTCTCAGTCCTGATGATTTCTCACATCCCAATGACCTTGACATTACCTTTAGCTCTAATGACTGCGTTTCAAACAGAAAAATGTGATGCGCTGATTGACTTCTGAAAAGCTGTTATAAATCAACAGTGTTCTTGAGGTCGTTCTAAGCAATGGGCAATTACATCTCATCTTTTCTTTCCACCAAAGTAATCAACGTGACTGGGCTGAGAGAATTACTGCATTTCATACATAATGTGAAATAAATTACTAGAAAGAATTTTTAACTATGTTGGATAAAGATTTATGGTGAAGTACTTGAAGATCCAGAAAATGCATCTGAAAGTAATTAATAATTTACAGTACAGAAGAATCATTTTTGAGAATAGCCTGAAGGTCTCCCTCAAAATAAGAACAAAAGATATGTAACAGTCCCAAAGAAAATAAGAAAAACAGCAAACATGATACATCAAGAACATTATCACAATTTTTCTGAGACACAATGGATTTTATATATATAACACGATACATACAATAAAATAATTATCACTCTCTCTAATCCATTGTGTCTCAGAAAAATGGTAATGATGCTCTTCACGTGTATCATGCTTGCAATTTTCAATAGATACATCTGTGTGTGTACATATATGTAAACATATGAAAACAGGTTTCAAGAAACCAGGGATGTGAAATTAATATCCAGAAAGTTACTGCTAGTGAAGGTAACATAAAATTGAGACAAAGAGAATTCCTTTGATGTTTTAGAGCATGAGACAATGTCATGCAAGTGAAAGCAGATGTACAGTGATATCTGCTCAGTTTAGAAAGACTTCATCAAGTTACTGAGACCCAAAATTTGACTTCTTAAAATTGTTACAGCATCTGCCATGTGGATACTTAGAGGTTTATTTTCTTTATCTGTCACCCAGGCAAGGAATTTTAACAGCCACATCTTATGTTCCACTATCCAGTAGATACCAAATCAAGTTAAAAAAACCCAACAATTTAAACAAGATGCAATTCTGAGAAATGAGTTGACTTTATGCTGCTGCCCCAACAAAAAAGAAAAAATTAAGCGCTTCAGCAATGTAGCCCAAGGACACAGGACAATAAGCCCAAGTTGATATATCTTTTTTTTATATAATGCAATTTTCATTTTCTGCCCTTTGAGACCATCATAAAAAGTAGAATTCATCCTGAAGAGGTATGTAGACCAATGGATACAAGGTCAGTGTCTTCTTTAGAACTGTACGTACTACAAATCATACCATTTTATTTTTGCAATTGCTTTTCTGTACAAATTTCAGTGATTCTACAGTCCTGATAAACTTAAAAGAACAGTAAAAAACATTAGAAAGCAAGGCAAAAAGGTTTCAACAATAATGACTCTAAAAATACCTGTGGGAGTATGCACCTGTCACATTGCTACATATGCTTGAGTTTGCATCTAAATAAGAAATGGGCATCTGCAATGGCACAAACCTGGACAGCAGTACACACAGTTAGGTGAGAAGAAAAGTTATTTGAGACCTTTAGGTCATACCTAAAAAATACAGCAAATTGCTGTCATTCTTTTTTTTCCACTCAGCCTCAAGACTGACACAAGGTCAGCAAACTTTGAAATGATGCTAACTAATTTGGAGTTATATTAAAGATTGATGCCTGACCATGAACTTGCAGACTTTTTTATTTGGATAGTGTCTTTTTATGCTTAAAGCTCTTTATTGAGCTTAAAGGTGTCACACATGCACACTCCAACGCCCAAGAAACAAACCCCTCTGCCCCCCGCCCCCCCCCCCCAAACATAAAGGAAAGAAAAGAAGAAAGGAAAACTAGGAAAATAAAGGGACAGAAGCAGCCATGCAGCCTTCTTGTTCTTAATTTATTTTGCTTTAGTCAAGCACTGTGATTCTTGATAAAGTGAAAAAAACCTTCTTCAAGAAAGATGGCACACGTAAACCACGCTGAATTTTCCTGTTCTGTATGAGCTTATACTGTGATATGACCAGATGATCATTGTAATGAAGTCCATTATGTCACTGTTTTAAGGGAAAATCTTGTCCTTTGTTCCACATTCCACATGCGTTATTTTTGAGCATACTTACTATTTCTTGCGGCATTCACTGGCTCTGTCAATTTTAAATTCAGGTAGACTGATGAATCCTTCCGCTTTTTCATCCTGCAAAAATAGTTCTAGATATTACTGTGTTAAGGTGTCAGAAAAAAACCCCACCACACTGCAAACTGAAAGATATTTTCACTTCCCTGCTTCTTACATAAGGAATACTAATGTATGCTCTGCTCTGGCAAACCTCCCACAGAAGTCACTGGGACTTTTGCCAAAGTAGTAAGACAGATCCCTTGGTGTAATATACAATTTTAAATACCCAGTTTTCTCAAACAATTTCACAGCTGAACTAGCATTTGAAAATATACAAAATGACCAAATGTATTCAGGCAATTAGTTATTGTAATTAGTTCATTTTGGGGGAAGATGGACTAATTAGGAAGGAGAAATGCAGCCTACTGTAAGAAATATGGCGAAAAAAAGCAATTTCAATGTGTGCTGTTTACCAACTTTATATATAACAGCTAAGAGGCATGCTATCTCTTCAGCTAGTCTCATCTCTCTCCAGCACTCAGGAGAGAAGGTATCTGACCTTCCGCCCCTCTCCTCAAAAGACTTGCACATAGTTTATTTAAGCAGATATTCAATCTCCCTTGACTTTTCACCATTTGAAATCATTATTTCTTTTAAGCCACTAACGCCTCAATAACACAGACTCTCATATTTAGCTGCTCATAACTTTGCATGAGAAATGAATACAGGATCATGAAAGGGAAGCTGCAGAAAACACAAATGTACGTTAAGGAATTCCACAGAATGAAATCTTTTTCTCAGAATCTCCATGGTTATTTATGCTACATATGCAGTCCATATGACTATATGCTTTCTTAAAAAAAAAAAAAAAAAAAAGAGACACAAATAGGCACATGAAACTGGAACTAGAGTTGTTCTGCGGAAGGTGCGAGGTTGTAACAGGTTGCTCTTTCTTTTTTGCATGGCTGCCTAAGGAGCCAAAATTTTGGCAAGAGCACTGTTTGCCTGTCTGTCCATCTGTCACTGAGGCTCCTCCCCCTGGCTTTTGAATCTATCCTGACTGTAGACACTTTGGTGAGGGACGTGCGGTGTCAAAAATAAGCGAGTCCCAGCAAGTCTCAGGGAAACTTGGGACAGGGGGGAGACAGAGGCACTCAGACCACTGCCCTCTCCATGGGAAAGTAAGGCACAACTCAGTGCTTCCACATACTCCTTGGCCATGGCTGGTGACCAGTCACTGTGCTTGTAGATATGAATTACGCCTTGATGAAGATCCCGTAGTAGACCTTGAGGAGGGAGGATGGACAGGACAGAGTTAGGGTTACTGATCCGCAGCTGGGATCAAGGCACAAATGGGATGAGTCTGTGAGAAAACAGGCTTTGGTAACTCTGTTCATGGAACAACTTGCTTTCCGTAAGTACTCAGGGAAAAGTTAGGGACCACAATATTTTTAAAAGGTTACGTACAAATGCTTGCAGGGATTAAAAGAACAAGTTCAAGATTGAGTGCATCCACATGTTGGCAATGATTTCATCTCCGGATATTTACTAATGAGACTAATAAGAGTTTAAAATTAAGGTCTCCTAACTCACTGGCAAAACATTTTTTTGCTAAAGCTGATATAACTAAAGGTGTACTAATGCAGAATGTGTTGCACAATCAAAGCTGTACACAATTCTGCTGGGCTGCTCTGGTGCTCTTAATCTCAGCATATATGAGCACTGAAATCATTATCAAAAGCTACAAAGAAGGAATGACAGAACACAACTGAGAAAACAAAAGCATCTTCCTTAATTGCCAGAGGTTTTGGTGATTTCATTAGCACAGATAAACAAGGAACACTAGGCAGCACATCATTAAAGTTCACACTCCCATGACTAAGCTTGAATGACAGGATTAGATAACTACCTTTTCCTTTTCGAGGATCTGAGGATAGTTCTATTCTAAACTGGTGAGAGCAGGATACAGGAAAGTGTGTTATTTCTCCTTGTAGTAAAAGGTGAATTTGAAGGACCAAATATCTCCGGACCTTAATGGTAATTTAGTCAGGCAGTTATTATCAATTTCAGTATGATTATTTGGGTGAATAAAGTTATTCACCTGTATAAGCACTCAAAGTACTGGCTTCCCACTAAGTCATGACAACAGCAGTACACAGGGTATTTCATAGAATCATAGTATGGTTTGGTTGGAAGGGACCTTAAAGGCCATCCAGTTCCACCCCCCCTGCCATGGGCAGGGACACCTTCCACCAGACCAGATTGCTCAAAGCCCCATCCACCCTGGCCTTGAATACTTCCATGGATTTGTTGAGACAATGAGCACAGATGCTTACCTCTTCATTGATATACCAATATAGAGATGTATCCTTCAGGACAAACCAGTATTTTTTCCACTTCTGGGAGAAATAACTCTTGGCATCTTTCTTTTTCCAAAGCCAGCCTTCACAGTCCCCTCGACCAAGATCTTTACATGAGATCCGTCTTTTGCTTTTACCAGGAATAGGAGCTGAAAATGACAACAAGTTGCTGTGAAAGCATTTGACTTGTCCACTAAATCAACAAGACAGCTAGCCAGAAAGTACCATATACTTGTTTAAGAAAATTAATTAGAAACTTCAACCTCAATTTGCCATGAATAAATTATTACAAACATTCTATTTCGACTACAAAGTCTATGCAAGGCACCATAAGTTAAAAACCAAAACAAACCATCTTCCGCACCTCACAAGAGCTCACATTCTATGGATAAGACAAAAAAAAAAAAAAAGGCAACCCAGAAAGAGAAGACACCATAGAGAAAAGAAAGGCAAGACATTGGAAAAAAAAAAGAAAAATAGTTAATTGTAATTTTCAACAAATTAATATCTCACATCAGATTAAAGCACACAGCATACAAATTTATGTATTTTCACACTTGGCTGCCAAATACAGCTATGAAGTACTTCATGGGTATTCAAAAACCTCTCTTTGCAGCTCCTTTTGCAACTAAACAGTTTCTAAAGCCTTTGTATTTCTAAATCAAAGGAAGACAATTTACTATGATATAAATTACCTGACAGCTTAGGTAACAAGCCAGGGCTGCAGTAAGGCATTACATGCACACAGGTGGAAAAACCAGCCCTGGTCTCAAAGAGGCTACAGTCTAAGTATTCCAAAAAAAAGACAACAGCAGATATATACAGGTAGAGGAGCATTAGGAAACTGTGAGACATCAATAATGGACTATGCTGGCTGGGGTTAAACCATGACCTGGGCCAACACCTTCTCAACATAATAAACTGAACTAAACATCAGATTGGAGCTAACAAGCTCTAGGTCCTCAAACACTGCAATACCATAAACATTAATGTTGGCAATTGCCTTCCTACCAATACGTGAAAGGAAATTTAATTTTTACCTTTGTTCTTCTTTTTACTTTTCTGCTGTAGAGAAGACTGCTGAAATGTCTACAAGAAAATCAAAACAGGAAAAGTGAAAATACAGTGTTTATATTCAACTACATCCTTATCATAAAAGAAGTGTAACATTGTGAACACTGAAGTCATCACCAGTTAACACCAGCCAACAGACTTCTAGGCCTAAGAAAAAAGGTAATTTTAGTTCATCTGTTCATAAGGTGGTAAAGCAAAAGCACAAGTGAAACATCTTTAAATAGACCACAAATTAGTTTGCCAAAACAACTTAAGTTTCTTTCTAAAATGGTCGCTCTTCTCTCATGCTGCTAATAAGGAAGGAATGTCTCCCTTTGGTTAGTATGATAGCGAAGCTACACAGCCCATGCATTTCTAATACATCATCTAATTAAGGTCTTCTTCATATAAATATGCAAATATGCAAATGAACACACTGACCAATGCAGGTGTGGAAGCATTTACATGACAGTCTTTAGAACATCAGACAATTTGCTCAGAAACGGGCCTAATATTTTTAAAGACACCAATAAATTCTGCTAAATTCTGCTAAATTGCAACTGGCAAAAAGACTCCCAAATAAATATTCAGAAATACAAAACACTTTACTTTTTACCAGCTTTTGACTGGAAGCATTTCCTTCCGGTCGATCCACTCCCATGAACTAACCCATTGCCTTGGCAATGAGATAGGATGGAAATTATTCCTTTACTTACAATCCTAGCTTATTAAAAATGGCAATATATATTAACACATTTTATCATCATTTCTTTACAGAACTTTGAGTCAGATAATCACCATCACTCTAGTGAACTAAAAACATAATTCTGTAACTAATCACTCCAAAATTTAAAGACAGCATTTTAGTTTTCTATAATGATAGATAAATATATTAGTGCTGAAACTAAGGCCATATTAGAGTGCCTGAGTATTAAAACCTCTGATTTCAGCTTACCATGAATCAATACAAAAATCTAAGCTTTTGTGCCACTTGATAAAAATAAATCTAAGCAAAAGCACTGACATTCTTCTGAGCCCAAATCCTGATTCTAGCAGATAAGACAAACCCTCACCTCAGTTTACAAGGCTCCCTTTTCAATTCAAAGAGCTGGTTTTCTTTTCATTCTCTCCTCCCTGCTTCCTCTACACCTGAGCTCACATACAGGAGGCTGAGGCTCACCTTCCAAGGGATGTCTCGTCTCACAGCCGAGACATTCTCAAGCAGCAAATACTAACATGTCCATGGGGATAAATTACCAGCAATACAACGATAATTGAGCATAATATAAAAAATCAAGTGATTCGGTAGATGTGCTGATCCCTTGCAGACCGTATCTGTAGAAAGCTACTCAACTGTATTGCCACCGCAGATGGTCACAATAGGCCTCCACTGGGAAGAAAAAAGGAGCCTATTTGTTTTCATTCCCTGGCTCTTGTCCTTTTTCTTCTGCTACTGGTATCGATTCAATCGGCACCAGCACCCAGCAAGCCGAGACAGTAACACCATCCCAACTTACGTCACACGAAATATTTCAACCTGTGTAGGACTAAGGGAGATCTTTATGGCCCAGGAATAACAGAGTGGCTGGGCAGAAGTGTGTAAATAACTCCCTCTTAGATGCTTTGAAAATCTTACCTAATTCAAAGTGGTTGAAAAAACACATACACGCACAAACCCCAAACTTCAGCACTTCACAGTTCACAACCCAGACTATTTCATCCTGCTGCTTGACTTTTTTGCACTCATATTTTCACAGTGCCAAAACAAAAAAGGAAAACCTCCGCTTGGTTTTCTTATAAAGTGATTCTGAAAGCAGATGAGAACAATACGAAAAGCCTTCTCTTTAAATGTTTCGTCTGTAAATTGAACCTGCAAACGTGAGCTTGCACCTCTCAACTTCTAAGTCAGTTTTTGGGAGGAAAGGGTAATGAAGGGGTATCAGTTTTTAATAGGAAGACAGCATGTAATTTAGACGTTTAGCCATTTTTCCATACATTATGTCATATTGCAAAATAGAAAGGCTTTATTAAATTCAATTATTATTCTACATTAGCTCATTAAATTAAATTATAATTAAGGACAAAATCTACAACTGAGTGAAGTTCCTTGGAACTATTCAACTGACTTCAGTGATTTTAGCTAACACTTTAGTTTATTTTAAACAGATTTCAGGCTTCAAGTTGGTTCATCCTTTGCAAAAACAGTACCAGCTAGTTTTGTTGTTGGGTTTTTTTTTTTTAACCCAGAAGATGTATAAGCAGTATGCATTAGTCAGTGCCATTCAGTTTCAAATGCACATGATATGTAATCAAAAAAAACCCCAAGTGAGGATGAAATCTAAAAATGCTTCTTCTATTGCTTCTTTTAGGAAATCATCGAATGCAGTCTGCAGCCTCTTCCCAGTTATTAGATAATGCTTAATGCCATTTTCTCAGTGTGGTTTAGAATCACAGAATGATGAAGGAGGTCATGTCCTTCCTCCTGCTCAGAGTAAGGCTTACTTTGAAGCCAACACGGGATCATGTTCTTCAGGGTTATCTCCAGCCTAGATCCAACTATTTCCAAAGGAGATTCCACAACCTCTTTAAGTAACCTGTCCTAATGTCGGCCACCATAATGTTTCCCCTTTTACAGCTTAATTCTGTGATGTGGCAAATATGGAAATAATATAAATACTTCTTTTTAATACCGTGAACCCTAAAAATATGGATTCACACCGAAGCCAGAAATTCAATTGTACTAAAGCAAGTTTGCTGCAAGATACTGTTTAATCACCCGCCCACGAGGCCAGATTTCAACGTATGTTCACTGTGTTTTGATTCTGATACATCTTGAGCTTTGAGCAACTGCATTCACATACATCTTGACACAGTTTCCAAGAACTCATCTCTCCTACTAATTCTGAAGGCAAGCACAAAATGAAATAGAAAACAGCATTCTATAGTAAAGAAACTTTTTAGTAACTCAAAATAATAAATAAAATGGAAACAAGACTGCCACTGAAAAGATGAAATAGATGAAACCCAAATGGAAATTGTCACTCTTGAAGAACTGAAACTTGAAACTGTTTAATCACATTCTGAATTATATGCTTTCCAGTTGCCCAAAATACAATTAGCAAAATCTTCCATTATCCAAAAGCAAGGTGTCACTTGACATTTAACATATACCAAGACTCCTTTGAATATCCTGAGCCTCAGTTTTTTGAGTGCAATAATTTTCTCCTGTAATATGTGCTGTTTGAGCTTGTGGTATTTAGTAATATACCTAAACTAAGCCCTCTGACAAATGCATGTCTAAGTAGAATACCAAAGAAACATTTTAGGTATGTATATGTCTGCCTTTGCTATCAGCAGCCTCCAAAGCACAAGTATTTCAAGAGTAACAAAACATCATTTATTAAAGGGAGTTTTCTATGTTTCTGTTTTTTTTTTTTTTTTTTAACAACAAAGGTGCTAGCCTACCTCTAGCCCTACCTTTCTGAGGGCTTAGCTGCACATTCCATCAGCCAACAGAGATTTCACTGTGCATGGGAACAGCCATAACAGTTCCTCTCTTCCTGCAACTTTACCAAACTTGCTATGTGGGTTATATTTACTTTAACACTCTTCAAATGATTGACAGAGTTCTGAAAGCCCATCAGAAGACTGCACAGCTGTAAATAGCAATCTGCCCTAGGGTATGCCTTTCCATGCTTTTAGGGTTATAGCACAGTAATACAGCTGCACAGTAAAAAACTTCCAGGTGGAGGCTAACACTAACAAAAGAGGTCACCAATGATCTAATATAAATTCCAAGTGTGACCAACAGAACGTGACATCCATGTCCAAAAACCAGATATATTCTAATAGTTACATGAACCCCTTCATGGTTACAGAATTTGTAGGTCTACCAAAAAAACCCCATAACTGAAGCTTCTCTGAAGATCTGAATTGGCCATAGCAATTAGTACTCAATTTGACAGCTCCTAAAATCCTCTTTCAAGTGCTTATTTGTTTCTTCACTTTTCTTCAGAGATTTTCCACTTGCTCATTTTCAGAAAGCTGGAAGAGAGAACCAGGTTATGGAAATAATAATCTCCAATTCTTTTACCTGAATTTGAGCTCAGTCTGATAGGGAAGGAAAATGGCATGTATCGTTATAGTTTTTTTGAGAGCTCAAGTCAAATCCAATTTTTCTCAAGCTGCAAGTTTAGACACTAAGGAATCATTTACAATCAGACAGTTCCCCTCTGTCACTGCAAGATAACTTCCTCTAGTTTCAGCAGAGTAGCTTGTGACATTTCTGATTACTGGAACTTTCTGCTGCAGATGGAAAAGCCAATATATGGAAAAAAAAAGAAAGCTGGTGCTGCCAATTATTTGATTGATCTCTCACACTCAATACTTTGAGAACACTGGCAATGTTCTCTTTTCACAGTTTTGATATACCACATATACATGTTTCTCCGTATTTGGTGTGCTGAGATCCAAAATTTCAGAGCTGAAAGAAGAGTGAAAAGGGGGAAAAATTCAAAGCTATTTGTATTGCATTGTCACACTATCCATCACTATTAACAACTCGTGCCTAAGGGTACTCCCAAGAGAGGATTCGGCCAAAATCTTTTGTTTACCATCTTGTTTCGTCTCCATTGATAGCTAATGATAGATAGTATAGAATAATTATTTTTATAGATATTTGTGGAAAATACAGTTTTCAAGGACTATGTTACCAAGGTATGATGAGAGAAGACCTCGGGCAGCTCAGAAAGGAATCAGCTACCAGGGCTAAGGTCAAATGAAACATCTATGGGTGAAATTAGACTCAAAAGGGAACCTACTAAAAACTGGGATAAGGAAAGACTATCCTCTAAGTTATGATTGTATTTAGGAAGGTAAAGACTTCACTGCCTTCTTTGAATAGTTTTGCGTGTTGACTGGGGTTCAGAGATTGTTAACAGAATGAGTTATCTGCAAAAAATCTCATGCTTGACCTATCTGATTTGTCAGGTCGTGCAGGGTGTTTTAGGAAATATTCCTGTTCCTGTAATCATGAA